TTGGAAGACCTGCCGGTTTCCTCTAAAGGCTTCTGCAGAAAATCTGCCAGATATTTTCATTCATAGCCTGAAAACCATGTGCATCTTTCCACGTGATTCGGTTCTCCATATTCGACGATTCATTCGGTCATTTTGACTATTCCACAAAATTTTCACCTCACGTCGAATACCTCCCCCTGGAAAGAAATGGCCCCGTTTTTCTTTCACTTTACCGAAAGTTACTCTTCCACTTTATCTCCCTTCACTTCAACTAATAACAGAAACAATGAAACAAAAAACCGTAACAATCTCAGACTTGGAGTCTTCACTCTGAAAACACTGTCTGTAATTTCAGATCATCCCTTTTATCCAATTTTCACACTTTTCGCACAGTTCTTTCCTCAATAATATTCCACGTTCTTCTTCCTGTTCTTGTACAAACTTATAATCCTCTTCTCGAACATCTCTGAAGATTCTGATCCAACAGAATCATACAGTAGAACTTCTCTAATCACATTTTCCTAGTTTTCTTGCATGATCTCACGGTCGAACTTTCAGTCGGATTTTGAAGCACAGAGAAGACATAATTGCACCATCAACACTGTTTTTCTTCGCGAACACCGACGAAAAATTGATCGCACTTAAAGAAACATGGAGATCCAACGTCGACGAGCTAGTTTTTTCCAATCACTGTGTGTCAACTGTAGCTTTTGCTGGTACGATTTCTTCGAGAGACTCGTGTCCAGTTGTAGGTGTTTCAGGGTGAGAAAAATTGTCGATGGACAGCACCGCGTGCTGCTGCCATGCTGGCACGATGGCTTGTCAATGTGTCTTGGCTAACTAGAGATCTACCACCTACTATCACCCACTCTCACCCCTTACTCACTGACTACGTACCATCCGACCCCACTCCACCATAGGCCGGCCTTTTCTTCTCTCTCTCTTTTTTCCTCTCCTTCGACCGCCTTCGTTACACGTGCGTGGCATCCTCCTCTTCCACGTGTGTGTTGTACCCCTACCCTAACTCGTGTTAACCTTCCGTCCATGCTTCCTCGGCAAGGTGTTTGCTAAGGAGATTTGCAGGACTTTTCAACTTTGCCTGGTATATATATTCGGTTAAATGCATTGCGCTTAGCGAAACGACCTGTGCATTTTCGCGCGGTTTACTGGTTCTGTTTGAAAAATGAAATTTGATCGTTTTTAAGGTGGGAGTATGTATGTGTTAGGGTGACAATTATTCGAGAGTTTTGTGTAAGACTGTCAGGTAAGAATGTTATTCTGTTGAAACAGTTTTGGGAGAAATTTGATTTTAACTTGGGAGAACTTACACGCGTTGGGATAAAAATTACTCGAGAGTTTTGTGTGACAGTAAGAATAGATGCTAATTTACCTGCTTGCTTTACCTTTTTAGTAACTTTTTATGGATGTTCTTTGTCACACATCGACTGTATTTTTTTATAGAAAGAAAATTACAAGATGTCGAAGGAAAGATTTTAAATTTGCAGAAAAGAGTTTCGGTATATTGGGTATATTTTACCCTACTACCTGCCCTAATATTTTTATGCATGTTCTCCCTGGTTGAAGTAATCTCCATTGTTTATAATACCGACACTTATGTTAGTGGTTTTTCTAATTTTTATAGCATTGCTGGAAGTCAATTTCTAAGATGGATTTTATGAATTAACTGAATTAATTCGAAAGGGTGTCTCAATAGTGGATGTTTCAGTCTCTGTTTCATGATGCGGGATGCCAATTCTCTCAGTTGCTTTTTCATAAATCTGGCGCAATTCGAAATTTAAACATTTCGAATTATCCGAATTATTCAAATGATTCACCTATTCGAAGTTGAATTCCGAATTCCACTGGTATTCGAATAGTTCAACTATTCGAAGTCAAAACCTGAATTTTACTGATAGTCGAATGATTCACCTATTCGAAGTTGAAATCCGAATTCTACTGGTATTCGAATAGTTCAACTATTCCAAGTTAAATCCCGAATTCCACTGCTATTCGAATATCCGAATTATTCGAATAGTTCACCTATTCAAAGTTGAGATCCAAATTCTCCTGGTATTCGAAGTGGAAATCCGAATTCTCCTGGTATTCGAATAGTTCAACTATTCGAAGTCAAAATCTGAATTCTACTGATAGTCGAATGATTCACCTACTCGAAGTTGAAATCCGAATTCTACTGGTATTCGAATAGTTCAACTATTCCAAGTTAAATCCCGAATTCCACTGGTATTCGAATAGTTCACCTGTTCAAAGTTGAGATCCAAATTCTCCTGGTATTCGAAGTTAAAATCCGAATTCTCCTGGCATTCGAATATCCGAATTATTCGAATAGTTCACCTATTCAAAGTTAAAATCCAAATTCTCCATGGTTTTCGAATAGTTCACCAATTCCAAGTTGAATTCCGAATTCTACCGGTATTCGAATATTCGAATACACCGAATATTCAGATCTCCGTAACACCCCTAACATAATCACGAACGAAAGTGTATAATGTAAGCCAAGAGGCAAGAAAAATTCTTTTTCGAAAACTATCACACGAACCGTCTCTCGTATCTATTACAGTGCAGAAAAGGATGCAACAAAGTGTTGAAAGAATGTCCAGGACGAGGAGGCAGAGAGTACACGGTTTGAACGATATCCATGTCCACGAGCGTGTAAGACGCAAGACGTTCGAATACACGGGTTGGTCGTCGTCGATGCCGACGACACGGGATACTAATCGTTCATTCGGCGATCGTTGATCGGTGATCGGGGGCCTCCTTCGAGCCTGGTTCGTCTTTGCTACACCGATATCCCCGTTGCAACAGCGGGACGGGGAAGTAAGATATTATTTTCTTCAGATACCATTACCACGCCGATCACGGTGGTCCTGCCTTGCAGACGAGTGGCCCCGATACCTTCGAGATCACTCGCTTGTAATGCCTTCCCTTTCGTGGATTATTGACCAGTGAACGGTGAGCCCGGCTGCGAAACACTCCGACGCTACCTATTCCACTCGCGACCCTGTCCAGCCACCCTCTAAGAACGCCGCCACCTTGTCAATCGTTTCTCTGTCGCGAGTTCACTTGCACTCGTCTCTTCTGCTGACTCTCTTCGTTTCGACATTTTTTTTTCTTTTGGGAGGGGTGTCTATAGATAGGTTTGGATTTTAGTGATTTGTGGGTAGTGAAAAAAAATCGGC